TCTGTTACACCTGACCACTTTTTGAAGCTGGCTTCTTCGGCGTCGGGAGCACTCTCTCGCGGTGATACTATTCCTCCTTCTGTTAATATCTCTTCTCTGGTCCGCCATATTAGGATCTTGGTCGTTTTTTGACCTTTGGGTCATCATATGTTGCATCTCCGTTTCTGTCGGCATGCTTAAGGCTGCCATTATTCTCTATTGTAAGCTGAATATTCCGGGCTGGAAGCCCCGATTCCAAGAACTACTTTCGCTTCCGAGTACGGTTTTGCAACGTGAAAACGCTGCACCCACACGGAAGCTGGCAATTGTCCCTTCGGTGGAATGTCCGCCGCCAGCTGTGGATGTACTCGAAATAGCTCAGGTGGAAATTGATGCCACCTCTTCGTGGCCACCACGCGCATCGTTAAGTCCCATAAAAATGCTATATTTGGCAGGCCACGACCGTTTTTTTGTAGCTCAAATTCCCATCACAGTGAACGGTATCCGTGTACTAGCGCTTATTGACACCGGCGCTTCAATAACCATTACTACAGCAGCCACGGCGCCCTTGTTTGGAGTCTTCTCAATCAAGAGAAGCGACGTAACCAGCGCGGTAGGAATGGCCGGCATCCCCGTCCATTTGTTAGGCTGCGCCCCGCTTGCTTTTCAAATTGGTTCGTTGTCTTTTGAACACCCCGTCTATTTCACGGAATCGGCTTGTATACCCGACGAGGTTGACGCTTATAATATCATTCTTGGCAACGACCTGCTCCGCAAGCTCCCACCATGGACTATTGATTACGGTAGCCGTACCTTTTCTATGGCTGATCAGCAGGTGAAAATATTGTGCGCGTCTCCGGCGGAGGGCGTCCCACCCCCGGACCAGCCGGTCGCAGTTCGAGTCGCCGAAACTACCGTACTCCCCGCGACGGCTGAAACCTTTGTCCGATGTACCGTGGACACCGACACCACCTCACCTTTGATGCTTGTTTCTCAAAGTGACAAACTTTCAGAAAGGTCGCTGATGGTTACTCCTGCGGTCATCAACTCCACTGGTCCATTTCTTCTGGTCGCCAATCCTTCGCCTCGTCCGGAGACTCTATATAAAGGTCAGCTGATGTCATCTGCGGTACCTCTCTCACAAAGTGAGTCCACACTTTCTTCTTCGTCTCCTTTTGATTCCTCCCCTTTTGTGGGGCTAATTTCTTCCCGGGCGGACCGCCCCGAAACAAAGACTTCGTTTGATCCTGACCGTATTGACCTCTCCTCATGCAGAGGTCAATGAACACGAACGGGAGCAACTAGCTCAGCTTTTCTATGAATTCCGAGATAGAATTTCCACCAGTTCGTACGACCTAGGCTCTTATGAGGACTCTGAGATAGTAATTAAGACGACGACGGAAACACCACCTACTCGTTTCCGTCCGCCTCGTATCCCGGTAAAATTCCAGAAGGAGCTGGATGACCACATCAATAAGTTGCTTCGCGCAGGGCGCATCGTCGAAAGCGATACACCATGGGTCCATAACACAGTCCTCGTTAAAAAGAAGGACGGGTCACTTCGAGTATGCTTAGACTTTCGCCCGCTAAATGATATCACAGTCCCGGACCACTATCCATTGCCTCGAATTGAGGATATCCTTGCTAAGATATCAGGTCACAAGTTTTACACTACCCTAGACTTAGCCTCGGGCTACATGCAGCTTTTGCTGTCACCTGAGAGCCAGGAAAAGTGTGGCTGGGCCACCCATCGTGGAATTTACCAGTTCGTTTACCTACCGTTTGGCTTGAAAAATGCCGGCGCTTATTTTTCTAGGGCCATGTCACGGATTTTGGCTGGTCTGGAGGCCAATTGTCTGGCATACCTGGACGATATTGTGGTCTTCGATAAGGACTTTCAGAGTCATTTGAACTCTCTTCGTAAAGTTTTTTATAGATTTCGCCTCCATAATATTAAAGCTTCCGGTAAGAAGCTGACCGAAATTGCTCGCTCTCATATAAACTTTTTAGGTCACGAGATATCTGGCAACCTATATTCTCCAGCGGAAAGGAACATCCGAGCTATTCAAGATTTCCCGACACCAACAACCACCAAGGCTGTCAAAGGATTCGTAGGTATGGCTAATTTCTTTCGCAAATTTATAGCGAATTTTGCATTGATTGCTTCCCCGCTTTACGCACTCCTGAAGGACAAGGCAAAGTTTGTTTGGGGAACGGAGCAAGAAGAGGCGTTTCAACACCTCAAACATCTCCTGGTTTCTAAACCATGCCTCACATTCCCCCAGGACAAGGAGTTCTTCCTCCACACCGACGGAAGCCAGACCGCCGTAGGCGCCGCGTTGTTTCAGGTCTCTTCGGACTCCGACAATCAACTCGTCGCGGTAGGCTATTTCAGCAAGGCCTTATCGGAATCGCAGCAAAAATGGAGTCCCACGCACGTGGAATTGTTTGCAATTATAAGTGCTTACGTTTCTTCCGTACCACCATTTACGGGAACCATACTACGATTTTTTCTGATCACCGCCCGCTCACTTTCCTGCTAAAGCATAACAAAACGCATGATAATTTAACCCGCTGGGTGGTCGAACTCCAGAGTTACGACGTCTCCATCGAGTACCCTCAAAGGTCTTCCAACGTCGTGGCTGATGCCCTTTTCGGCTGAGCTGGTAATCTCTAAAGGTAGAGATTTCATGGATGCGGATGCCTCGAGAACCGGAGGATATTTCGTCGAGATTCCGGAACATCAGACACCTTGTCCCCGCCGTGTACTCCCTGCGACCAACGCTTTTGTATCTGGGTCCCCCCGTTGCGATCCGTCCATACGAAGCTCTTCAAGAGCAGAAACAGGACGAATTCTGCCGCGCTCTTTTCTCGTTCATTGAAACGCAGCGTTTCCCTGACGAGGTGGACGAGTGCAGAAACTGGCGCCGCAGTGCGGGCACTTTCGCAGAATACGCGTGTAGCATCAGGCAAAAAGCCGGTTTAGCCTTTACTAGCAGGACGACGTCGTCTCCTGTTCTTCTCGGCGCTCATCCTTGTGATTCCGCTTCGAACGACTCGTTCGCTCCGCTGAAAAACTCAGGGAAAACCAGGTATTTTAGGCGGCCGTGCGATACCAGCTCCGGGCTGTGCGATGCCGTCTGCGGCGGTTCTGCACTCTAAATCTGGCGAAAATACATCCTAGCCCAAAAATTTCTTGCCGGAAAGGGATTATTCTCTGGCCCCATATGGCGGAGTGATTTGTCTTTGTTTCTTGTCTGCCGCGCATGCCACAATCGTTGCCATGCCGGCAACGCCCCCAATCCCATGCAGTGTCAGGAACAGCTGATTCCCCTGTGGGTCAAGCGGCCATAGTTGTGACAATGGTATGGACCTGTTTGACCTTAACCGCCCCTTCACACGCTTCTGAGCTGCAAATAAATACATGTTTAACGCAATGATCGAATCGCGATTTCTCCAAATCTCGTCATCGCAGCCTCCTCTTCCGGACTGCAGCCCGCAATTACAAGTCGCCGCCACGCGCCATGTGCTTCTGAAGAGTGCGCTTTTGGAAATTTGAGTAACTTAACTCCAACCTTACTTCAGACACAACCCGTCCTACTTCATAAGCGGGAACTTTCTGGTGGCTAACCTTGGAAACGCAGCTCTACGCAGTCACAGGCGATATCTCCGTCACCCGCTTACCACCGCATGCAGGGCTAAGCGCGGCGGCCTGCTGAATTGCTGCATTTTGCGTGTGCCTACCTTCCCATCTAAGCCTGAATGCTTCGGGGCGGCCGTACCTACAACCCCCCCACTCAATAAAATTCAGCCTGACACTTGCACACAGTAGTCGCCCGCGTCCGCTGCCTCTCAGTCGTATACCACACTTCCCCCCGCCGTGCACCACTATACCCCAAGCCCATAAGTACGTCGGTCCGGGAGGAAGTGACTGGGGCCGAGCCCCCCACTATTTGCATAGAGGTTGTCCGTGAACCGCCCACCCGGGGGGGGGGAGAGGATGGGCGCGTCGCCGCCCTTCTTTAACATAGTACTCCTCGCTCATGGTCGCCCGCAACGACGCCGAGCCCACCACTTCCCCTCCTTCGAGGATTCAGGGTTGTATGTTCAAAATCTGGTCTCTACCCTTCACGCTGCGTGGAGGTCGGCAGCCCAATTCAGCGACCGTCAGCGGCAAAAATTCAAGCAGCAGTACGACCGCACTCATTTAAATCCGCTGCCCATAAAGGTTGGGGACCGGGTTTTCCTGCGCGACCTTGCCCCCACAGTGGGCCTCTCTCAAAAGCTCACCTACCCTTGGCTGGGTCAATTCCGCGTACTTCAAGTCGATCCTCCCCACCTCACTATCGTGAGCATATCAGCACCTCAATCTGTGCCCAAAAAGGTGCATATGAACCAGGTTAAATTATGCCACCAACTGTCGGGTCCAGTATTCACCACTCCGTGGTTGCCAGAAGTCGAACACTTAGCTCTGACAGCGGCTGGCGCCACCGACGAGGCGCTCGTCGGTTACCAGCATACCGTACCCCCAGCGGAGGCCCCTCAGTCTGTAGTTCCTACTCATTCATATAATACTCGTTTCAGGACTCGGCGGACTTCTATCTGATCAGTTGATCCGAAACCAAGAACTATTTAATCCCTTGTTCGGCCTTCATGGCTGCTTTTACGTTTTTTTGTTTTCCATCGATCAGCACATGTTTGCCTCGATTCGCCTGATCGCAGCTCCGATAACGTAACCACAAATGCCATCCTCTGCTCATTCTTCTTTTTGGTTGCCATCAGCCTCACTTTCTACTACTTACAGTCGTTAACCCGTACTCTTTTTGGTTGCTTAGTAAACTACTTTTTATTTTAATTCATTTTTTCTTCGTTGCATCCACTCTCCTTTCGTTTTTCCCCTCTCTCCGTACGCGTTCTCTCTCATCGCATATGATTGTGCCGGTCTCACTTCCCCTACTCATACTGTTTCTTTCAGAGAACTTGCGTAAACCCGACTTTGCGTTCTTGTGCTCTTTGCTGCCATGGATGGCGCACCTCCTCCGGTCGCCGTTCCTCCGGATCCCGATGATCCGGCCAGGTATTCCGTTTCTTTCTGTCGCGACGCGACCGCTCCAGAGAACTATTTGTCCGGCTCACCATCAGCCGACACAGCTAATGCATCTCAGTCCGGCTCGTCCGTAACGGACGAATCGGCCATGGATACTTCGGCTGTCACTGTCCCCAGTGACACCAATGTATCCACGGCTCTTGATACTTTAATTTCTTCTGTTGCAGATGTTGGCGCGGATGTCGCTATGGAACAGCAGCCGTCTGAAGTCCCGCCTTCGGATACTCCTGGTGGCTCGCGTGCACGGCGCACCCCATCACCCACTCCAACGGACTCGTCGCTGCCGTCGAGTTCAGCGCACAGGTCGCTGAGCAGCCAGGATCTTAGTGCAGGCGGCGAGGAGCTTCGCAGCATGACCGCATCAATGGAGCAGTTGGCTATGGTAGATCCCCCTCCGGTCCAGCGTCGCGTCACCCGGGCGGCTTCTCCCTCCGCACCCTTGGCAAAGACCCAGCGGTCCTCATCCGGTCGTCGCAGGGCTCCCGCAAATTATGCGGCAGCCGCAGCCGAGCGCCGCTCCCCACCACCGGCTAATCCTATCCGGGGATCAATGCGGGGCCGTGCCAAAGCGACCGCAAGGCCTGGTCCCTCCACATCCAGGTCCGGTCCTTCCCAACCCCCGGCCCGTGGGGCCGCCTCATCAAGAGCTAGTCGCGGCCGTGGTCGCAGCGCTGCGCGTACCAGCGCTGGTTCGCTACCCCAGGTTGACACCAGTCAGCTGCCGGAGGAAACCCCAAAAGGGTTCTCCCACTACCTTATACACCGCCACCCGTGGGCGCGCTTCGTTAATCCACGGCCGATCCGCATGGTTCGCGATAACCCCCCGCAAGTTCACAATAACCTGAACACGGAGGGATACCGCCACCTGCCCGACTGTGGGTATATGTCGCTGCGCTTTCAATAAGTCCTTGTTCCCCCGTGTGGTGTTCAATGAAAAGAAGCCGCCAACGTCGGTTCCTTTTCTCGAACTCCAGCACTTGGAGGACACAGTTGCTTTTCGTTCGCGCTCCGAACGCGTCCTTGAGGAAGTGCTGGGCAGAATTTACGTCGACGTCGACGTGGCCGATGTCCAGCCAACCTCTCCCTCGGGCCATCCCTACGTTTTGGCCCCTCCAGTGCGTAACGGCTGTCGCCCCGTGCTATATCAGGTCGTTTCTACCGGTTGGGGCCCCGGTGTGATCCTCGAGGCAAAGGACTTCTTCACCGTCGCCCCGGATCGGCGCGATCTTCACTGCATCATCCTCGATCAATTCGCGATTGAGGTGACTGCAGGGCGCAGAGGCTACAACAAGTCTCTGGTCTCGGTCAAGGACTTCGTCTGGGTTTACGATGTTAAGCCCACTCGTCAAGCCCTCGAGAACCCGCAGGAAATCCTGCACAAGTCTCGCGTTCCGCGCACCACCGTGGTTAATACCACGGCGGCTTTCTTTTTCAGGGTGTCGCATTTTGCCTTCGTCACGCCCCGGGATCAACCCACCCCTATCTACGGTATGGTGCTAGGGTTTCAAACGCGGCGTAATCAGGTTCAGCGCGTGCGCGCGGCGTTTGAGGGGTGCCCTGAAGCGGTATCCTTCAGCTCTCATATCGCGTCTTTTCCCCTGGCTGATCTCTCTCTATACGAGATCATCTCAGCGCGCTCTCGCGTAAATGTTTCCTGCGCCATGCGTTTTTCGGAGCCCCCGGCTTCGTTGCGAGCCCGGGAGGAGCTGGCGACTCTTGTTAAGCGCTTCTTGCCAATGCACCCTGAAGAGGGTCTGTTGCCTCTCGAAGTCTTCAAGGTCTCCGACTCCGACCGCGCTTGGTTCGCGGACCGTCTGGGTGCCTTCAACAACTACAGCCTGGACCCCGCTGCGGCTCGCGACAAGCTGGCTAAGCTCTGCAGTGCAGCATGCGCCACCCTGGCTGCGGTTAACACGGCTGATGACGACCGTCGGTCTCATAACATCTCGGCTACGGTTGTTGTCCCAAGGTGGTTTCCCATGCGCCTGCGGCTCCGCCTCGCGGACATGGCATCCGAAGCCGGTTGGACGCCGGGTCGCCATGCCGTCATCTGGGTCGAGGGATCCCACAACCTCATCCAGGTCAAAGTGTGCAGGTTGACCCCATTCCCCAGGCGAAGCAGCTCCAAGTGGTCGTACAGGCCTTTCGCTGGTCCCACAACGCCCTAAACCGCGCCTTTACTACTTTCGGCCACGTGATTAACAACTCTCGCGTCGCCGATATTTGCGTGCGCCTGGTGAAAACCTCTGCGGCGGTGGACCCCATCTTCGACCTCGTGTCCCGCGCCCGCATTTTCACGGGTCTCGAATCTGGCTCTATCGGTCATCAGATTCTTGACCTGATTTTCGGTAGAGCTCAGCTGGGCGCTAGCGACCAAGCTTACCTGCGCGACCTCCCTCAACCGTCCGATGAGGAGCGGTCGTTCGGGGTCGACGGTAGGATTGTGTCTCTAACCCCGGACCAAAAGGATGCGGTGCGGATTGGCGCTGCGCAGTTGCCTATTGTGGCCATTCAGGCCGCCTATGGCACCGGCAAGACATTGATCGGAGCGATCATTGCGGCCTTGTCGTCAGCGGACCCGTCCACCACAATTATCGTCACGACGTCGACTAACGCCGCCGTGGCTCAATTCACGGAGACGCTACTCGCGCTGGACGACTTCCCCCACTTGCGCGTGGTCCGCCACATTTCCGACGCTGCTGCCGCCGACTGTCGCACTCCTACCGCGGTGGATCTCAACAAGGTCCTCAAAACGCTTGGAGACGACTACGGCGACCTGCTGGAGCCTGCCGAGCGCTTCGTCTGCGCCCAGTTCAAGAAGTACCGGCAGCTTCTCGAGGACTACATCGAGAATCCTGAGCTCGCCACGGAGATGTCCGAGGACCAGAAGGACGAATATGAAATTGCGGAGGAATACGTCTCCAACACCCTGAAGCGTATGATCCGCATCATGTTCAAGGTCCGGCGGCCATCGGTCATCTGCATGACGATCTCGTCGCTGCTGAACTCGACTGCGACCAGCACGGGCATTTTCCGCTCCTATGTGTCCTCCTTCCGCACCATTATTGGTGACGAAGCGTCACAGATTCCGGAGCCGGCACTATTCACTATTGTCGCTCGCTTCCAGCACGCGCGCCACGTCTACATTGGGGATCAGCATCAGCTCTCCCCACACGCTAAGTGCCCGCACAACTCCAATCCTGTGCTCCACGGAGCTCGTAGCGTAATGTCAACCCTGCTCAACGCTCCTGCCGTGCCGGTGGCCCCGCTCATCACCACCTTCCGCTCGCACCCCGCTCTGGTCGAGCTTCCCAACCGCATCGCGTATGACGGTGCGCTTGTCAGCGGTATTCCTGCCGGCGACCGGCCGCTGCTGTTTGGGCTCATGTCCTTCCCAAACCCCCGCGTTCCCTTCATGTTCATTGACGTGAGGGGCGAGGCCGCACGCGCAGCCAGCAAGTCCTATTACAATGACTTGGAGGCCGTCGCCTGTAAAAACCTCGTCGGTCGGCTCATAGATCTAGGCATTACTCCTCCTTCGATTTGTGTAATTACATTTTACAGGGAGCAGTATCGGCAGATGAAGGAATCCCACTACAATCCTCATGGTGTCGAGATCACGACGGTCGACTCTGTGCAAGGACGCGAGAAAGAGGTAGTGATTGTTCTTACCACTAAAACTGATTTTGCTCCAGATTCGACTGAGTTCCTGGGCGACTACCGCCGCCTGAACGTGGCCGTCTCCCGCTGCCGCGAGGGCCAATTCATCATCGGCCACGTTCCCGCCCTCTGGACGATACCGACATGGAGCCGAGTGCTGGAATGGGCCGACTCGATCAACGCCATAGTCCCGAATACCTCCGTGGGACAATACCTTCGGAACCCTCAGCTGCCGCCCGCTAACTCCCCTCCGGTGAGCCAGTTCTTGTTAGACCCGGGAGTCATATCTTTAAAGTCCGGGACGGACTTTTGGTAAAGGGGGGAGGTGTGAGTGCAGCGCCTTGCAGGCGCAGCTCAGATTCCTTGACGGTGACTCATGTTTTGCTTTCAGGGCGTGGCGATGGAGCGATCAGCTTCTTCGAGGAGTCGACCTGCCTCTCGGACCGAGGACGCTCGGATCCCGACCTTCTACTCCATCTCTTGGGCGAAGCCCTGCTCTCTCGAGGACTAGTGATCTCACCCACGTGGTGCTTGCTCTCCTGCCTATGTGCTTATGTTGTTTCGTGTGTTGTGCCTTTTATGATGCCTTGTCGGCGGCCCTCCGCCGATCTCATGTTATTTTGATGTCTTAAGGATAAACTTTAGTAATAATAAGTCTTTATACAGAAGGAGGGATTTAGCACCTTTCGCTGCGTGCGCTCGCTTACTGGTAGCAGCGAGTGGTTCACCCCTCGCTGTTGGCAAGTCCTGGAGCAGGTAAGTTGTTCACATGTGTCTGGCTTGATTGTGCCGAAACGAGATGGCCACTCGATTTCGGCAGATGGTTGGCCAGCCAGCGCATGAAAAACTTCGCTCGCATGGTCGACTCCAGACAAAGACGACCGTAATCTTGTTCAAATTTCCTTTTCGGTCAAACTTCTTTCGTTGTTT